CAGCAGCAGCAGCAGCATCAGCAGCATCAGCAGTGCACCCACCGTACCCCAGAATACGCTCTCGCCTACTGCCCCACGCCCTCTCCGCTTCACTTGGCAACGCCCCACCTCATTCGTCCATCCAACGCCCAAACTCTGTTTTCACTTCCTACCTTCCCTTCACCCCAGTCTCAGTTTCAAAGCGCAAAGTCCGTCCTGCGTCCACCCACTTCGGCGCTTTCGCCTTGCTCGTGCAGTCCCGGGTCATCCGCCTCGTTCGTCCATCGTTCCAGACTGCCCACTTGACCTCGCTGGCGAGCGGTTGTCCGCTTCAGCACTCGCCTCTCTGCCAGCTCACCCCACCGGCGGGACGGCCTCCGAATCCTCTGGGAGTGCAAGGTCGCTCTTCTGCAGGCTCTCGTCCTTCCCAACTTCCATCAACACAGAGGTGTGGGTCCCCGCCTCCTCGCATTTATAGTTGCCCCTCTCGACGCTTGGCCTCTCCCGACCCGCTCTGCCTGCCCGAGACTTCACCCAGTCACGGCAAACACCTTCCGCATAGCTTGGTCTCCTACACCAGCCCTTCAACACCATGAGGTCTCGACGCTCCAGCGTAGCGGCGCCTGAGCCGACCACCGCAGCTGACGTCGCTGTGCCCATCCAGGTCGACCTGCCTGGCCGCGCCACTGCCAGCAGCAGCGCCAACAGCAGCCAGGTCGACCTTACCGGTCAGCAAATCTATCTCGCTGCCAACTCGCAGCTCGGTTCTACGTCGCCCAGCGGCGCCATGTACGAACTGCGAGCCATCGCCCCCGGCGAAGCCGCCATGCCCGGAGAGATCGTCAAGGACGTCAAGACCGGCAAGCACTACAAGAAGAAGCCCGTCACAAAGCCCGCCTACTCCTTAGGCCACACCGACGGCGCTCCCACCACTAGCAACACCGGCGTCCGCACTACCGGCCGCATCGGTCTCGGCCATGCCTTCCCCACCGACGAGCAGAACAGGCAGTACAAGGCCGACAAGGCCATGCGCAAGTCCAACAACGGCTCGGGCACCAGATCGCCTTCCGTCGCAGGAGGCAGCGCCTCCGGCCACCGCACATCCATGGACGTCAACACATTGGAGGGCCGCGCACAGCTCTTCTCGCAGCTCCGCGACTTGATCCACCAGGAGTTCGAGCGCGCCAACCGCGGCCAGACCGAGGAGCTCAGGAAGCACGTGCAGCAGGCACATCTCGAGCAGCGCCAGCACTTTGAGGATCACATCGAGGATGTCAAGGAGGTCATTGCCGACCTTCCCCAGGCAGACGAGGGCGCCACCACCGAGGACACGATGGTCAAGAAGAAGGAGCTCGAAGCCACCACAGAGACCGCCGTCAACACCGTCGACGACGCAAAGCTCAGCGACTCGGACTCCAAGGGCAGCGAAACTACCATGATCAAAGACCCCGAGCCCGCAGAGAGGGGCTACGGCGACGAAGTAGACGACAGCAGCGTCGACGAGTACGAATTCCCCAACAAGTGGGCTGCAATGCGCTACAAGCTCCGCGAACCGTTTGCAGAGTTCCTTGGATGCTTCATGCTCATGGTCTTCGGCAACGGCATCAACTGTCAGGTCACCGTGTCGTCCCTTTACGACCCGAGCGCTCCCAAGGGCGACTACCTCTCCATCTCGTTTGGCTGGGGCGTCGGTGTCGCCATGGGTGTCTGGGTCGCAGGTGGTATTTCGGGTGGTATGATCAACCCAGCCGTCACCATCGCGCTCGCGTGCTTCCGCAAGTTCCCTTGGAAGAAGGTGCCCGTCTACATCGTCGCCCAGATCCTCGGTTGTCTGATGGGCTCGCTCTGCATCTACGGCCTCTACGTCAACCCGATCCGCATCGTCGACCCGGACCAGACCGAAAAGACCGCCGCGCTCTTCACCACCTATCCGGCCGAGTTCCTGCGTCAGCCTTCGACACGGATGAGCTCGTTCTACAACGAATTCTTCGCTTCCACCATTCTGCTCATCGTCATCCTCGCGATTGGCGACTCGAGTAATACGCCTCCTCCCGACGGCATGGCTCCCATGGTGCTGCTCTGGTTGATCTGGGGACTTGGCGCCTGTCTCGGCTGGCAGACTGCTTATGCAGTTAACCCGGCGCGAGACCTGGGTCCGAGACTCATGCTCTATATCGTCGGCTACTCGCCCGACCTGCTCTGGACCTTCAATGCGTGGTACTGGCTCTGGACGCCCATCATCGCCACCATCGCAGGTGCACTCATGGGCTGCCTGGTGTACGACGTCATGTGCTACACGGGTGGCGACTCGCCCATCAACAGGAAGGCCAAGAGCCACGCACCCGCCTTCGGTCCCGGCTCCAAAGAAAAGATGCCCGCGGCCATCAGCCCGGCTTGAGTGTATACGTAGGTAGTGTAACATGACAGTGTGCAAGTATTTCGCATCCAACGCAATGGTTTTCGGTGTTCTGCGTGGGTGTGTAGTGTGGGTATCAGGTGGTGGCGTCGGGATCGGGGTCGCATCTCCAGGCATCCTGGACTTGAGCCTGTCGTTGTGGGTCCGAGTCGAACAAGCGGTCGAGGTAGGTGTGGACGAGTGCGGTATCCTCGAGGTTCTTGTTGAGCTTCGTCTTTTGATACGTGTAGGGGCAGTCTAGGGAGACGCATTCGACGGAGGTGGGGCGTTCGAAGTGGGCGCATGTGGAGCAGATGCGATCCACGGCACGTGTTTGCGCC